CATTTGACATATAGTGGGATACACCAAATGAGATATAATGAAGTTTTTATCAAAAAAAAATCTTTAATATATATTGGAGCATCTTTTTTGCATTTGCCATAAGAAGCTTTTTTTTCTATTTTTAAATTCTGAATTTTCATCTATTAAATATTAATTTTGTTCTGTAGTCTCTTCCTGCCCATCTCAACTAACAAATCTTAAAGTTGGAACTGATGCAGACTTAAGGAAACCTATTGTGAATATCAATCAATTAATGGATTATACCACAATTGAGGTATAATCCATATTTTTCAAAACTTAGCACAGGAAGTCAGAAGCAATTTCATGTCACTAATGAGTACTCATCAAAGCTTAAGATGATATATGCAAAAAGATGCTCAAATATCTCTTTAACAAATTTTATGATAAAAACTGCATTATACCTCAATTGGTCTATCTCACTATATGTCAAACTGTGGATTATACCTCAATTGAGGTATAATGCATCAATTAATAGTTATTCCTGACCGGACTAAACAAATTATAGAAACGCCTTAAAGTGTACAAAACAATACCAATATTAAAAAGGAAACATTAAATGTAAGTATCTTTAAATATTTCGGATAACAGATATCTTTCATCAGTATGATTATGATGTAAAATTAATCATATCAATCTATTCTGATTTAAGTATAACAATATATACATATATCATGTATTATAAAGCTGAATTATAGTTCAGTCTAGGTGGTCGAGTGGTTTAGAGCAATGGACACAGTGCAGGCGGTGTTGTCTCAATATCCTAATAGCATGAGTTCGAATCCCGGCGGGGGAAGAACCAAAATTTGCTTCCGCAAATTTGAAGATTTAACATTGTTGTGCTGATATTTAGAGTAATTATGAATATAATATGTGTTTTCAGCCGTGTATCACTTTAACTGGTTATCCAATGGATGGATCTGTAGTAGAGTTGTCTCTTAGTTAGACGTACTTATCAAAATAATTATTTCTGTGACTGTATCTTACGATCCTTTACGTTAGATGTTTACCTAATCTGCAATCAATTTCATCTTCATGCCTTATATATCGTGGACAGTGTTACTACTATAAATTCTACTGACGAGGAAAGGTAACACTAGGCCACCGACAGTTGATTTATAGTTCAGTCTAGGTGGCCGTATAGTCTAGATCGATGGACACAGAACAGGCGGTGTTGTTCCGATATCCCAATAGCATGAGTTCGAATCCCGGCGAGGGAAGAACAAAAATTTGCATTCGCAAATTTGCAGATTTAACATTGTTGTGCTGATATTGAGAGTAATTATGTATATCATGTATATATATAAACGCCTAAATAGCACTTTTTAGGCGTTTATATAATTTATTTATTGTGTACATGTATCGTTACTCGTAACGATCCAGTGCCCTCGTGGGAAAAATCGTTGACTATTATTCAGACGTTTTATGTATATATATATATACAGTGCTGTATTTTTTGGGAATGTATAATAATGTCATGATATAATGAAAAGAAAAAAGTGATGGTAGTAAAAGTGATGAATTGAAACCGTCATTATCTTATATTAATTTTCTTATATGTTACCAGCATACGGATTCTATTTGACTTTTTTCTATATATATATAACCAGTCTAAAAGGGTACACCATCACCAAAAAATGACAATAAACGAACAAATGTACTTATACATATTTCGGATAACAGATATCCTTCATCAGTATAAGCACGATGTAAAATGAATCAGATCAATCTATTCTGATTATTAAACTATAGCAATCTTGAATTCTATTCAATAAAAAAAGTGAAACAGTTTCACCCGAACATCATATGTAGAGACGCTAATAAACTTTTATAATTTTCAAAAGACGACTCAAAGACATGCCTTAAATGAAAATAGTAATTAGAGATATGAACTGGCACAACTCTAAAATTCCAAAATGACGTCAGGTAAGATGTTACAACAACTGCGTGTAAATACATTCCCCCCCAAAAAAAAAACAGCACTGATCGATACAAGCTGGTAAAATATGTCAAACAGAGGCTTTTATCATCCCAAATAAATAGCAGTTTTATAATGAAAAGAAACAAATAATAGTAAATTTGGGATAAGGTTAAAAAATTGGACGTGGATGCGTACTTGTACATCCCTACCAAATGAAAAGAACCCTGGTATTTAAACTAGTAAAATTGAAAAAATTCAAAAAGAATCCTTAAAACTGTAAGGGTCAAGTAAGGAAGCCGGAGTAACTGGAAACAAATGATGCCAGGAAAATGAGTGATGGTAGGGAAAATGAGTGACTCATTCTATGTTTTTTCATTAATGCCCTCTGGGGAAACTGTCCTTAGCTTTCTTATCCAAAACCTTTCCCGAGCAAGTCTTTCGGTCCTTGACCAACCCTCGTTGTGGTCTATGATTGTGATTGTAAGGTTTTTGAGATCAGCTTGGGCGTGCCAAGGTGATCTCAAATGACGACTTACGGGGAGGTCGGGCTTGCAGGTGTAGTCACTTCGATGACCATTCATGCGTTTGTTCAATGACTGTTCTGTCTCGCCAATATACTACATGCCACACCGACATTGAAGAAGGTATACAACATTCTGTGTTTTGCCAGTTACATTACAAAATATAGTGTACACAGACCCAGTGGAGTGGCAAGTAAATGTTTGAGTATTCAGTATTTGTTGGCAAGTCAGACATCGTCTGTTACCACACGACTTGCACCATCCTGCAGTTGAACAGCTTTTATTAGAAGAGACGTCAGCTTTCACAAATAAGTCTTTCAGACGTGCTGGTCTCCGAAAAGCTAAGACAGGAGGATTGGGAAAGATCTTGGACAATTTAGGGTGCTTGGCAATAGTTTGCCAATTGGCACGGATCAAACGTGAAAGGTTAGTAAAGGCGGGATTGTATGTTAAAACAAACGGAACTATTTTGCTGTGCCTCTTCTTTTTGTACTGTAATAGGTCATTGCATTTTCTCTACCATCACTCATTTTCCTGACATCATTTGTTTCCAGTTACTCCGGCTTCCTTACTACTTGACCCTTACAGTTTTAAGGATTCTTTTTGAATTTTTTGAATTTTACTAGTTTAAATACCAGGGTTCTTTTCATTTGGAAGGGATGTACAAGTACGCATCCACGTCCAATTTTTTAACCTTATACCAAATTTACTATTATTTTTTTCTTTTCATTATAAAACTGCTATTTATTTGGGATGATAAAAGCCTCTGTTTGACATATTTTACCAGCTTATATCGATCAGTGCTGTTTTATTTTGGGAATGTATTTACACGCAGTTGTTGTAACATCTTAACTGACGTCATTTTGGAATTTTAGAGTTCTGCCAGTTCATATCTCTAATTACTATTTTCATTTTAGGCATGTCTTTGAGTCGTCTTTTGGAAATCTTAAAAGTTTATTAGCATCTCTACATATGATGTTCGGGTGAAACTGTTTCACTTTTTTTATTGAATAGAATTCAAGATTGCTATAGTTTAATAATCAGAATAGATTGATCTGATTCATTTTACATCGTGCTCATACTGATGAAGGATATCTGTTATCCGAAATATTTATAGTTACATTACAATGTTCGTTTATTGTCATTTTTGGTGATGTTGTACCCTTTTAGACTGGTTATATATTATATTTTGTAGTGTACTGTATCATATTTATATGATCCATCGCCCTGTAAGATTTATCGTTGGCTATTATTCAGTCATTATATATATATATATACATATATATATAAACAAGTCTAAATTGAAAACAACGTTCAAACCTATGATTGCGTTTGATAAAAACCGCAATTTTTATACGTGTGCGTGCAAAACAAATTTCTTGGTAGAGGGGTCTAAATACAGCACAAACAGCATTTTCCAAAAGACCAAATGAGTGAAAAAGTATATTTTAACAAAACGCATTTGACTAGCAGGTCGAACAACTGATGTTCTTAAACCCTGCTGACTGCCATTGGCGATTGCCAAATAAACGGATCACAAGATGTAACAAAACAGATCTTATTATTAAATTATTACCAAACAGAAAACAATAAACTTGCGGAAAAGATGGTATACCGCAAACATGAGGTGCAAAAATTTGTACACCATATCCGGATTTCGACAATTAATGTCTCTTCAGTGATGTTAGGAATCGAAACGGTAATTGGAAGGCCATATAATTTACCTCAATTTAGGATAGACTCTTGAATTTTGAAAGGGAAAAATAGGATGAACGGATCATATAAACCCGAAGGCAAATATAATACAAGCCCAAACGAAAAAATATAAACAAGTCTAAATTGAAAACAACGTTCAAACCTATGATTGCGTTGGATAAAAACCGCAATTTTTATACGTGTGCATGCAAAACAAATTTCTTGGTAGAGGGGTCTAAATACAGCACAAACAACATTTTCCAAAAGACCAAATGAGTGAAAAAGTATATTTTAAATATATCATGTATATGTGTATCCGATATCTTTCGCCTCTGTTTAGTTAACTGTGTGCATACACCCCATGAACAATACTTAATGTTTTAACAATTAACCTTAAACAACTGAATATTTAAGTAGAAAATGCTAGATACACGAGATAGGGCATGCAAGAAATGTGACTACATACTATCAACTGGTTCTTTGATATGCGAAAACCCTGGTGCTTTCCAACACAACATATTATATATTACGTCTCAATTCCGAGTTGAAGTTAATGTTTGTCAAGCTCAATCTCCCCTCTTTTGCAAAGCTTAAAGTTGGATCGATGACCATAAGCGTATACTTCATGTTTCAAAGTACTTTAACCTAATACTCAGACGAACATAATCCCAGACAGTTTATATGTAGTTCATTGTGTTCTTAAGTATAATTTTATTTTGCAACAGTAAAATACAATTTAATCCCCAAAAAATATTCTTTGAAAACTGTTTTTACTTTATACTATCGCGCCAGTGACATTATTGTTGTGTTAATTCTGAATGAAACAAGATTATAACATTCCTTACCATAATGATTTTCTGAACGAAACACACAAAATCTCTTACAACATCCTTCTTTTATATTGTTACATATAACGCCTAGAAATGAAACAACAAAATGCATCAGATAAAATTGAATTCAAAATACATGCAAGTATGTTTAATTGTCCCTTTTTCGTTATAAAAAAAACATACATTTGGTGCGTTTGTGTGTTTGTATGTGTGTTTGTGGTTGTTAAGGTTCTTCACGACAATTTGGTATTGTTATCTACTGTATGACACAATAAGTTAATTCAGGCAAATTATTACATTATCGGTATCAATATGTCTCCACCAGGTACGCATTTCGACAATATATGTCTCTTCAGTGATGCCAAAACATTTGAAAATCCATACGACTTATTTCAATTTCAATACTATCGGTTTTATATAACTGGGAAATTAATCTTAAGAACTTGATTTTAGTATACTTATGTTATACACAAACTTGGTTTCTATTATGCTTTCTATTTCTCAAACTGTTAAATTGGTATAATCTTTTGATGCTTGTTCAGGCTTTTCTATTTCGAATGACCGAGTTTGGACAAACACATTTATGCCACCAAATGCGTTTTTAATATATGAAGAATTGTCGTGTTTGGACAGACATCACAACCAATGAAAGTACATACAGCGGCAACACCATTTTATTTATTTTTTTTTTTGGCCAGTTTTTTTTTACTAAACTATGAGTTTGACTATCCCTTTGGTATATTTCGACATTTTATTTCCACAACAGTCATATGCCAATGACGAAACTCTATATCGTATTGAGTTTATGAAAATTTTGAAAAATATACAAATGTGAAGGTCATGTAGAATAGCTAATAGGACAACTATCAATCAGAGACCAAATGACGTAGTTGTTGGCCAATGTTAAATACATAACAAAAATATCTAACCCCAAAATAAATTCAAAAAAGGGGAACTTAGGGACCGGTCAAAATTTCTTGATGCATGGGACCGGTGCAAAAAGAAAATTGTCTGAAATAATTCTCTTGATCCCATGGTTACTGGCAGAATAAAAATATGCTTGTCCCATGCACTGTACCTAGTAAAAAATGTGTGTCCCATGTTAAAGCACAAAAAACATGATCAAAGTTGTGGCTACATTTTATGCTACAATGTATTTGGATAGCAGAAAAATAATGCTACTATGTGTGAACTGTATCTATATTGCTGTTATAAAGTAAACAAAACAATACATAAGCATATGTTATTGCCAACACAGGAGCCCACACAGATGACAATATGTTATTGACTATAATAAATGATACATGCAATATTAAACAATTAACATGTATGAAGTGTATGGTAGAATACATTTTTTCAAATAAATTGCAGCTTAATTTAGAATCTGACTATTCTAAATTAACAGTGGGTAGGTAAATTTTCCAAAAAAAAAATTACAATAATATGATTTTTTTTCTGCTTAGAATAAAAAAATCCCCATTATTTGAATAGTCATACCAGAAGAAGTGAACATCTCGAGACAGTCAAATTTTCAAATTTAAAATGAGAGGAATGTGAAAATAGCATCAAAATTAAAGAAGTGAACATCTCCAACTTCCACTCACAACAATATTGTTTTTTAAACATTTTTTTAGAGTGGGAAAAAAGTAAAATTTACTATCTCAACATATATGCAGCTTGATTGATTATATATTTATATCTGGGCCATTCAGAGCTTGTTGGGTGTGGGTTCCAGATTAGTTGTGACCTTTGAATGAATATTCCAATCATTTCTTTTGGTAGTATGCTACTGTATTTGTTAAATTTCCACAAACATTCTTTTTCTACAGCCAGTATGTATTATAAAAAAAAGAGTTTTCATTCTACAATGTCTGTTGAATTTGCATAATCATGATAATAACATTTATATTTAAGGTAGTTCAGGGGTTCATCGCTGAACATCATTTCTTAGCATGTTAGATTTTTGTTTTATTTAAGGAATTATGGTACTGAAGGACGCCTCCGGGTGCGGGAATTTCTCGCTGCATTGAAGACCTGTTGGTGACCTTCTGCTGTTGTCTGTTCTATGGTCGGGTTGTTGTCTCTTTGACACATTCCCCATTTCCATTCTCAATTTTACATGTACAAAATAAAACAGAAACATTAAAACAATTCATTTTGTTTAATTATAGTTGAAGTAGCACTTTTAATTGCATGGCCACTTTCAAAATTTCTGTTTCAATCCAAGGGAGATAATTTGTATAGAAAGTACATGGAAATCACACATTTTGTCAATTTTCTTAAAAGTATGGCTGGTTTATACACCACATTTATTTTTATTGAAACTTCTAAAGCATATGAAATGGAGATTTTCACAAATTTTCAGAATTTTACCTATAAAAAGACCAAATATTCACACTTTTCAAAGAACTTTTTTGAAAAACAAGCACACTTTAATAATCCATATCCCTATATTGAGTAATATTTAATTCTATATACTTAAATATATAGTGTACTGTAAATCTTATAACGCAACTGAATTAAAAATACATACTATTACAGATATTTAAAGCCGATATTTTATATACTGAATGATTTTATCTGATTTCATTTTAATACGGATATTCGGATTTTACCGGATTGGTTAAGTTTTAGTCATTCATACATAACTTCCGGTAAATACGATGGGCCTGGACGACCGGGACAGAGGAAAGTGCCGAGTCGAAGAATGCGACTGCACAGACTTTGTGGCATCAGATGCCATGAGTTGTGGATACTGTGGTGATCCACCAGCAAAACACCAAAACTTACAACAACACGTATCTAGCAGTAGCTCTACCCAAAATGTCACTCTCAGCTCTAATATCGGTAAGTACAAAAATGTACATGTAACTTTAGTAATTTTACATGTATGTACAATTACCTAGAACTTTTCCATATCAGCCCTAGTATCATTCAAAATTTCAACCAAGAGCTTTTAATACCAGACAATATATATACTTGTGCTCCACCCCCTTTCATAATTTTAAACTGTTAAAAGCATGTATTATTTAATATGGCCTCACAATTAAATTGGCGGCGACAGAGCCCTATAATAATCAGTTCATCTGTCCATCAGAGATTCCTCAGTCATACGATAACTTTTAAAATTTGCTGTGACTGATAGAAATGAAATATATATATACATAACATTAAGCTACTGATTGGATTCCATGCACTACTTATTCAATTTTTTTGTATCTTCTTCGTTATCATCCTTTTACACATGGTAGAGCATTAAACGCACTACAAAATTCCCTGTCACTGCTAAGTCTCAAACCTGGGACTTCTCGGTGGCTAGCTACCGAGTGAGCAAAAGAAGTACTCCGTTAGCCTGTCGATTTGAACTGGCTATATATCAACTACTTAATACAAATCAGGTAGGCTGTCCCGCAACACACATAATAGCCAATATATTTACTCAAAGCCGATTTTATAAATTCAGTAGGATAACCAGGTTGATTTGAAAGTTCATTTTTGTCGAGCCTTCGACTTTAGTCGAAAAAGCGAGACATAGCGATCCTACATTCCGTCGGCGGCGTCGTCGGCGGCGTCCACAAATATTCACTCTGTGGTTAAAGTTTTTGAAATTTGAATAACTTTCTTAAACTATCCTGGATTTCTACCAAACTCGGACAGAAGCTTGTTTATGATCATAAGATAGTATCCAGAAGTAAATTTTGTAAAAATAAAATTCCATTTTTTCCATATTTTACAAATGGACTTAGTTTTTCTGCCGGGAAATATTACATTCACTCTGTGGTTAAAGTTTTTAAAAATTTAATAACTTTCTTAAACTGTCCTGGGTTTGTACCAAACTTGGACAGAAGCTTGTTTGTGATCATAAGATAGTATCTAGAAATAAATTTTGAAAAAAAATAAATCCATCTTTTCCTCATTTTACTTTTAAATGGACTTAGATTTTCTGCCAGGAAACAACACATTCACTCTGTGGTTAAAGTTTTTAAAATTTTTATAACTTTCTTATACTATTTTGGATTTGTACAAAATTGGACAGAAGCTTGTTTATGATCAAAAGCTAGTATCTAGAAGGAAATTTTGTAAAAAAATAAATCAATTTTTTCTGTATTTTACTTTCAAATGGACTTAGATTTTCTGCCGGGAAACAACATATTCACTCTGTGGTTAAAGTTTTTAAAATTTTGATAACTTTCTTATACTATTTCGGATTTGTACCAAACTTGGACAGAAACTTGTTTATGATCAAATGCTAGTATCTAGAAAGAAATTTTGTTTTCTTCCAGTTAACATTACATTCAGTCTGCAGTTAAAGTTTTTACACATTCATTAGATTCATAAACTATCCTGGATTTTTACCAAACTTGGACAGAAGCTTCTTACAATCAAAAGATAGTATATTTTTATTGATTTACTTCCTCATTTTTGTTGAGCCTCATATTAACAGAAAAAGTAGGCGAGACACTGGGTTCGCGGAACCCTTACGAAATTTTTAATCTATAGTATGTAAATGTGCATTTTAATAATAATTTGATGTGTTTTAATACATTGGCTTAAATAACAAATGTATATTTTGATATTTACTATTTTTAGTTGAGGCTAAACAGTCTGGTGGAGCAACAAAGTTAAGTACAACTATCTAGCCATGGATGAACAAAAAATTTGGCCATATCTCTGATCCGAAAAGAAAAACTGGACAATTTTACAATACCGTTTTGAAGTCGTTGTACAAATCTTTTTGGCCATATTGTGGTAATATCACCATTTTTCACAACACATTGTTGAAAGGAACCGACAATTAAAATACAGTTCAAACTTTGGAAATAATTTTCAGTCGAAATTGGCATATTTCAAAAGTGAAAATAAAGCATGTGTAGGAAAATACTTAAAGGAGGATTACTTTCCCTTACCACATGATGTAGATAATTTAGAAAGATTAATCGACAATGCTTCAACACTAGAACAAAAAGTTGTAACTGAAATAGAAAAAATAAGTAAAGATGATGATTCATTGTTTTGTCAGAATCGAAGACTAAAATCAAGAAGGCAAAGTCAACACAATTTCAACGAAGACACAATACACAAGATGAACATTTTCATTGCAGATGAGATGAAGCCGTTTAATAAGACACTTGTTAAACTAAAAGAAAAGTGTAAAGTAACTAGTTGGAACAAGAGAGGGAAAAAAAAGAACTGACAAACAAAGAAAACGAGAGAACAAGTGGAAAGTTGAAGCAAGACCAAAGTGCAGGAAATTAAATAGATGCAAAGAGATCTATGAACTATTTGGTGGTCATCTCATGTCAGAATATTTCACTCCTGAAATGGGGGCGTATCAGATTACCGAAATAGAAGATACATGTACATTTATCGAAAACATTTTTTCAGATACCCTTAGTGAATTTGACAAGTGTTGTTTGGCCGACATGGTGAAAGAGGGTTGTTTCCGAGAGCTGGCCCTTGAATTTATTGAACAGTATTTGTACCAATAGTCCAATATTATAATGTGACACAGTTTAGTGAGAATTGTTATTGTTTATATGAGTTTACTTTATACATATATCTAGTCAGTCTACTTTCAAATTATTTTTACCTCATCTTCATATTTTATTGATGGTTAATCCTTTTGTTATTATTATTAATTTGATGGTTAAGCTTTTTGTTATTTTTATTTTTTTTCTCTGTACTTTTACATAATACATTTTACACATAAGTGCTTGTAGGATTTCAGATTGTGCCAATAGATTTATTATATTTTGTTGATTTTATTTTACGTCATACATTGTTCTCGCTATTCTGTCTTCCCATAAAACGGAGTTATCTCTCATTTGTAGAGTTATCTACTCTTTAGAGAAGGAATTTTAATATATATATTACATGTACAAAAATTTTGGCTTTTCTGCAAATATTTTTTCATATTAAACACACAAATATCATCATGATCCTGGTCTCAGATAAAAAAAAAACATTTTTCTGTGACATGACATAAGATTTGTTGTTCTGATGGGATCATTAGGTCGCCCAATTAATTAATTAGTAAAAAATAAAAGTGATGTTAAATAGAAAAATACCTTCTGTCAGGAAAGACAACTCTGGTAAATGGGAGACAACTCTGCTTTATTGGAGGACAGAATTATATTTGACAATCATGCTTTTTTGTGCAGAAACACTATCCATGAATTCGTTTTTTTACATTTGTTAAACAGTTATACATGTAAAATATCTAATCAAATTTTACATATTTTTTTTATTTTATATCAAAGTATTTTTTCATGTTTATTCTGTTCCAAAGTTTTTTTTTGTTGCCTTCACTGTTCTTTAAATCTTGAAAATGAATTTGGTATGTTGTAACTGTTAAATTCACATTGCTAGATGTTCATGATGCTATTTTTGTTTGTTATAGATTTATCAAATAAATTTTTTTTCATATACAGACATTGTTTCAAAAAGTTCATGTCCCATGCTTGCAAATAATGAAAAAACATTGAGTCCCATTCCTGTAAACACTGCAAAAAGTGCTTGTCCCATTACAGTTTGCACCGGTCCCATGCATCAAGAAATTTTGACCGGTCCCTTAAACAAAAATGGACAACATCAAACGTAAGACTTTAACAACAGACGGAACAAATGGAAAAAACTGTCATTTTCCTGATTTGGTCATGTTAATTCTGAAGAAAATGGTAGAATAATCCTTATTTTATAGCAAGCTAAACCTCCATCTTGTATGGCAAAGTTTATATAACGGTTATATTGAAAGTTTATCTAGATGTACAACTAAACATACGTTCAACTATTTAAATACCATTCTGTTTACAGTAAAATATTGCCTACAATGTTTTCGTAATTACGTAATTACATATATTCAACTAGGGTTTAATCAGACGTAAATCCTTAAAGAGTCTCAAAGTCAACACTCACATCTTCAATCTCAATCGCAATTTTGCAATTACAATGCATAGCAAAACACTTGATTTGATTACAAATAGTAATGATAAGTCTTAAGTTTTCCATGAAGTGTCTTGTATACTGTTATCTGTTTTTTCGACTTTTGTGTGGGTTTTTTTGTCATGGGTTTGACGGTTCGTTTCGACTTATGTATTTATAAAGTCCGTTTGATATCTTCTGCCTCTTCTTAGGCACAATTTCAATTCTCAATAGAGATATAATTGCCTATTTTCATTAAGCAATGCTTTATCCTCAAATTTTGTGGTTTAATTTGATTATACCTTCTTTTTTTAAGACACAAATTGACAACAACATAAAACTCAAAAAAAAAAAATTGTAGCATCACAATGCTTGGCCTTTTTTTAATTCTAAATTTATTTGTTTTTTTTTTTTAAAGAGTCATACTCACATTCATATTTCTTCCAGTATTTTAAATACGTCCCGAAAGTCCGCAGTATAATAACGCAAATTATAACACCAAAAAATGTCCAAGCCATATATTCATCACTACAGTTATCTGTAAAGAGGTTAAGAAAAAAAACACAGATTAAAAAACAAACATATGAACAAAACATACAAAAGAGCAATGTTAAAATGAACGCATGATGTATTACTTTTGTTTGATCACGTAAAGGTAAATTGTGATAAATAATAGTTTGATAAGGTTTTCTATACTTGTGTATGCAAATATTTTAATTAAAATTTTATTCAATTTGATTGGATTTCGATGTTAGGGAATTGTACATTTAAATTACAGAAGTTGCATGTTAAAATATTTGAAAATAATAGTTTTGTTTTTATCTGTTTGACTTTTACAGTTATTCACTACATGATAAAAAGATTTGAATTTCACAAGGTTACTAAATATTATGGTTTCATGTTTAACGTTATGAAACAACATTGAACTGATAGCTATTCTTCATTTGGAATTCATCGGCATTGTTTTTATTTTTTATTTTATCAAACTGAAATGGTTCCTTCTCGAGATGCGACAACTTGTCAAGCTACGGATCTCATTCAGTTATAAGTCCTAACACAAGGATGACATAGACTTTATTTTTAAACGTTGTTTGCTCAAGGGTGTAATCACAATCATTATTATTTTACATTATGACCTTACTATAAATTTTGTAACCTGCGCAACTGTTTTGATTCGAGCTTCACTGATGAGTCTTGTGTAGACAAAAAGAGCGTCTGGCGCACCAAAAATGTATAAGTATCTTTCATGACTTCATATTCTATCATGTGTACCCTTACGTTTCCCAACAACATAAACGCCTATAGCAACTCTACTTACTATATTCTGAATTGTTTGTAACTGAAATGAAAATAACACATTTTATTTACGATACATTTGTGTAGGTGATTATTTCTTCATGGTGTTTTCTTGTGCAATTTCGAATGAACTGACATATTAATTATCTGTTGTTGGGGTGTTGCAAGAATCAAATAATATTCGCCATCTTCCTTAAGTTAAAGAAACCTAAATATCCTATTTCTATATGTCATTACAAGAGGGAAATATATACTGGGGGCTAAAAAAAAAATAAGTCCACCATGTCACATCAAAAGTGATAACACCATGTCCAAAATGGAAAAAGACAAAAAAAGATAAACAGATCCATTTAACACTGCAGGTGGAAATAATGATTACGAAATCATTTTAAAGTTTCACATTAAAACTTGTGCTGTACTCAGGTGCTTCAGAAGTATAAGACATTCGATTGATAAGTGATGACAGTCAATCCTCCGTTCAAAAATGCAGACGACCAAATTTTGGAACATGTGAAAATCAATCTGAAAATTCCGAATTCTATTTTAAACAATGCCAAATTTTAATTAAAATCTGTCTTAATATGCGCTTCTGAAAATCTTGTACATAAAGACATGTATTGGTTGTGGAAAATATTACATTGGCCAAAAAGGAATGTCACTCCAAAAATGAATGACAGTTCACCAACAGCAAACTTGTCAATCAACTTATGGAAAGATACCTCTTAGTGAACACTTTGAAGTATGTGGTAGAAGAAACACAAAACACAACATAGAACACTGCAGTCTGATTCACGCGAACACCACCAATACCAGGGGGTGAGCATTTTGTTCATGTTATTTTCTATGCTGATTTTTTCATATGCTCTTTACATAGAGCGTTAGCATGTCCTAGTAAATGTCTCAATTAGTGAACTTCAATAATTAAATGTTCATCTATTTCGTTATCATGTGACAAGTTATGACACATTTTGTTACAAACATTATTGTGCAACTTAATTCAAGTAGTAAATAGATATAAAGTTATATTACCTTTATTATGTTTATCTAATATTGTAACATCAACAACAGCAAGTTCTCTATTTGTTCCATGATAGCATTTCCAAGGCCCATTTAAGCTACTGTCTATTTGTCTATTTATAATCAATATAGTTGTGTTTGTTTTACGATCTTGTGACATGGCATTATGAGTGTCAGTAGGAAAACATGTTGGGTACGGTATCGGGCTTAGACAGTGTCCTTCTTCTTTGTTATCAGGATTGGAAAATATCACTTTATATCTTAATTGGCTTACTTTACATTTGAAAGTTAAGTTTTCATTTCTAACTTCCCATGTCAAACAAACATGAATGCTACATGAAAGACTAACTGAAGAAGAAAGTAAAACACAGTGAAACACAGTAATTAATGTTATGGATACAAACATATTTGTTCAAGCATGTTATACAAAACCATGTAATACAAGTATATGAATGCAATAATTTTTTCACATAGGATTAAGAGTACTTACAGCGTCAATTTCCTAAATGCGCCTTCACATTGTAAAATTGAGAAACACAAAGCAATTAAATAGTCAGGGTGCTATAACATTGGACATAGTACTTTTGTGATAGTTAACTGATCTTAATCATTTCAGAAGTCCAGCGGATAGTAATAAGGGACACTGGAATTTACATTTGCAGTTTTGGAATTTATAAATCTACAGCACTTGACTTTACATCTACACCGCTAGACTTTGCATTTACAACTCGTGAAGTTTATATTAACAGTGCTGGATTTACATCTCCAGATTCCCAGCCACGTCCTGTGGTAAGAATGGAAAAGTTCAATCCGATGTCTCGTGTAGAAGGTGCCACGCTCTCTGCACGTTAAGAAGCATTGCAACAACTATTTGATGGATCCGTGGTTGACCTGTTGCAAGGCATAATTTCAGTCCCTATCCATTTACTCGAATATTCCAGTCGCAGTCCACACTTTCAGCCCACCATCCTGTTCGAACACTATTGCAGGTCCTACTTATTTGTATTTAATTTGAATTTGTTCTCGTTTTGAACTTGTATGGAATATTTGCCATTGGCCATTAAGCAACAAACAACCAATAAATGCAGATATAGATTAGAGATAACTGTATAGTATTTGAAACTTGGCCTACATAAAACGTGAGTTTCACAGCTGCAAATTGAGTTTTTCTGGCAGTATTAATAAGGTGGGAGTTACGCGGAACAGCAAATTGTGTATATTACTGCGTTTGCGTTACAAGTAGATATACTGTGATTATACTTCTTGACAACCTATAGATTATCATATCAGAATATCATATTATCTTCATGTAAGATAATCGGTTTTTTATTTACTGAAACATCAAAATGATAATCACTACGATAATATCTTTTAAAAATGATTGAGAAGAACCATCCATGGCATATGTCCCTGTCAAATGTTCCCATACATTATAATTAATTTCAAAATAACGAATAACGTTTCCCTATAATTATACAGTCTCGATAAAGTTATTTCCTTTCAGAACGAAAGTTGCATTTGAGGAAAAAACTCGGACTTTATCAAGTTGAAATAAAACGTCATAAAATAATAATCTTTTTAACTTACGAAATCGAACTGACCAAACAAAGTGACTTTCATTGAACTGGTAGCCTTATTATCCGTGAGGATATAATTGACTTTTACATATGTTACTACATGTGTTATTCACTGCTTCATATTTTAAGACAAACAATGTGAGCTAGGGTAATACAAAAGAATTGTATTTATTGCAATAATAAAGCAATTATGTGTAGTTTATTTTATGCGATGTACACATTTTCTCAACCAGCGAACTGTCAATATACTCTGAAATTAATCGTAAAGTAATCTCAATTAAACCGGTTGATTTGTTGCTGGGTAATCGATTAATATAAAATTACTTCTAATAAGACAATACAAGATTTCATTACAAACATGAATAAAATTACACCTGATTACGATTACTGGTCATGATTACCCAATATCTGTTTGGTATAACATACAATCTGTTTTCAATAACAATAATTACATGAAACTTATTTTTTAATTCATGTTATGACTTGAAATCTGTAGATGTAATCTCAGAATAGATTTAATTATGATTCTAAGTGAATTGTTAAAGCATTATCAAACCTATCTTTTTTTTAAAGTTATCAATACGGTCATTATGTAGATATTTATAGAAGAAAGTGAACTTACTTCTCACTGATACTCTTGATAAGGCAAATATAAGTATAATAATCCTCGTCGTGAAAGGCAGCATCTCATGGATTCATTTGAGTTTTTACTGTACACTGTCTAACTTCTGTGTGACACAAGTGCGTGTCAATAATGAAAATTGCAGCGGATGGTTAATCCATTTCTTTCTTGTACCAGTAAGACAACTCGTGCGTATAATACCTTTGACAGGTGAATGGTTAATTACGTCTAGTGTCTAGCAATGGAGTGCAAGTAAAACTGTAAAACAGCTGTCTGAAATAACGTTTTCATAAATATTTATTCGATTTCAAACTACATGGTCTGTATCAACAGCAATAACAAATGAAGCAAGTTTTCTGAATCCCAAATCAAGTTAAGACATTTAATCACGACATTAAAACAAAAAATAACTCGATTATTAGAATTGAAACAATACAAATTTTGACAATATTTCATTTTGCTTATTCATAGTAAGAATATTTATTTTTACATTTTACATTACGTAAATGATATTTGTTAATTAAAAGTACCAAATAATTCCGGAATATTTCAATGCATCAGTTTAGTTCTAGAACAAGCAGACACAGTACTGTCTTGTAATATTCCATTACCTCAAACACTATAAACGCTCCTTATTGATATCTGTCAGTAATTTATGAAACGATTTGTCTACAAATTTTAAACAATGCAACAGAATTGAATCTTTAAATCAAACATAAATTGAAAAATTATAATAATATTATAGTAGAATAGAGGCGAAATATGCAATACGAACATTCAAACTCATTACCTGAAAATAAACTGACACCGCCATGGCAACAAACAAAAAAGAAAAACAACAGTAGCCAAATCACAACATAGCAAAAAACTGAAGACTGAGCAACCCAACCAAATATCAAAGTGATATAAGGTGATTCGAAATGGTAAGCAGATCCTGTTCCAATTGTAGCACACTTCGTGTTGCTCATGAAAATACAAACCAAGTGATAAGTCTAATTCGATAGTAACATTTGGAGAAAATATGACTGGATTACGGTTATGACAGTTGGAACATATCCGTTGTCATCTGTAAAACAGATATAACAGTCAAACAAATCATGATGGCGTCCATTAAATTGTCGAAGGGATGATTTTAACTTCACCACTTTAAACTGCTAGTTTAATAGCTTCCTTGTAAGCAGCACTATATCAAGGAAATTATGATAAGAAATGCTATTTTTCACATTTGTATTAGTATTTAATCATTAAATTTAATACTTTATTTTGTAATATAATGCAGGAACGTATTGTAAACGAGTGTTTGGACTTAATATGTTATCATGTTGAAATAAAGGTAATAATTAATTATTTAATTGTATTGTATTGTTCGTCAAATACATATTCAATTTATCAAATACATCACGATAATCCCTTACCAATAAGCTACATGTGTACTTAAAAAACCTAAATATGTATATCAGGATGAATCAAAGCATTATGTTTTTTTTTATTAGCTTACTTGCCCCTCTTTAGATATTGAGAAGACAAACAGTTAAAATAGAACAAAAATAGTTATGTACTTTTTTTGTGTGTGTGCTATTGTTAAATGCCACATACTCGAACCTTTTTCGATGAGATATTACTTCAAAATTACTAAATGAATATAATACCTATACTAGTTTAAGCAAATATATTCAGTACAATTATTAAAATTTATTAACAGAACAATAACAATAATATAATAATTATGTATATTTGACATGATGATAATATTCTTCGACCAATTCGTTATGATTTTGGCATTTTATGATTACTTATTTAATAATTTCATATCTTATTAGTAAAGGCCTTTTATTTTTTTTTTTCTAATTCTTTTAATGTTAAATTTATACATTAATGCCTATACTCAAAGAATGATATAAACGATCCTCGTCATATTATTTATGTTATAGTCTTAAAGAATAAACATGCAGCCCAGTTGTTAATGGTGTTGGTGGCCGTGTGTCATATATCTTCTTTCCGTTTCTCATATTCACGTTTTTCTAGCTGTTATTGACCCTTTGGACGGTATTAAATTTGAACCCACAGTATACATGCGCTTTTGTTAAGCTTTGGTTTAATTCACTCTTTCAAGAATGTACGGTGTTATCAATATAAAAAAAAGAAAATGTGGTACAATTGCCAATGAGGCAACTATCAATTAGAGTTCAAATCACAAAGATAAAAAGCAATTATAGGTCATCGTAAAGCCTTCAACAATGAGCACTTTTTGTGAAACCCATACCGTATCGTCAGCCAGAACACTTTGGTCTGATGTATACAATACAATTTACGAAAAACATGTATGATTTATAAGAAAAAAAGGGCAACAACTGAATTACAGGTTCTCGGCTTGGGCAACGACATACAGAATGTGACGGGGTTAAACATGTTTTGTGAGCGCTCAACCCTACCTTAACCTCGAACAGTGGTGTTACAGCACAACATAAGAACTAACTGTAAAATTCAGTCCCAAATGACTCAACTCAATAAGTCAGAATAAGCACAAATAAACTAAATAACATAAAAACAATATAAAACATAAAGAGTACTCGCTGTTACTGAAAGCTAATTCTAAGCCAAATACAACTAATAGATATATCATGTTTTCCCCGACTAAAGTTCCATCAAGTGTATGTAGGAAATATTCTTTTTCCTATTTACACTACATTTTTATGCGAGGTGCCACTCGAGGAGATAATAAATCAAGGACATAAAATAAATGTCAGTATACTATGGTCACCTTATTGTAGCATATATATCCTTTGGTTTGAAGACGATTTTGGTGGATATTTAACATGCTACTTTACAACAGGAATTACATAATATCTTAGGTTTTTAATGTTAAAATATATACTAATTTAATGATATTAACCTGAAAAAAAATTTCATCATATTTCATTGAACCAAACAGAGTATTTTTTTCTCGATCGGAATAATTATTAGCTACATGTATATAACTATTTAAAATGTACTAATAAAAAAGATAAAAGATAGAAATGTAAAAAAAATACATGGCACGAAAACATTTCCTAAATATCTCAAAATTTATATCATTATGATTATGATATCGAATGAAACGTCATTTTAAATAACCAGACAGAGTTATATTTTGCCAACTTGTCTCCCCATTTATATGTTTTCCCCGTCGAATATGGAAGTCGTTATAGAACATATGCGATGTCAATTCAACTATTGAAAACTGATAAAATTCTTCAGCTTGATGATCCTTTCTTAAAACTTGTATTTAAATTAAAAATCAATTGTTCAGAGAACAATTGAAGGTCTTTCCACTTTAAATTTCTACATAATCAATAAGAAGCTACCTGTGGTATACTCAAAGTAACATTGGTATCTAATTATAGATTTCTTTAAGAAAATGTCTTTCAACTTTAATTTTCTAAATAATTGATAAGAAGCTACTTCTGGTTTACTTAAAGTTACTTTTGGTGTCCAATCATAGGTTTCCTCATAATGATTAAATAAATATATGGTTTCTATATACTTTTTCCTGAAATAAGGGAGATAATTGCCGACAGTAATAATCAATGTTAAGAAAATGTCACTTCTGGTCTCAAAGGAGAGCTGTATTTACAATGATTTACGGTTTTTGTATAATTATTCCTCTAAAAAGGGAGATAATTGGCTACTTCCGGTTATTAAATGTCACTTGGTCTCTAATGATAGCTTTATTCACACTGATTCCAAAAAATTATAGTTTGTATATACTTATGCCTGTAATAAGGAAATAATTTGCTACTTCCTGTTATAGTATGTCACTTCTGGTATCAAAAGATAGGGTTTTGTATGCCCATTTAAAAAATATATGGTTTCTAGGTACTTTTCCATAACATAAGTGCAAACATGTCTACTTCCGGTTCGTTCAAGGTCACTTCGAGTTGACATTTTCAAGGTCATATGACACTCAACATTTTGCAAAAGACCTTATGGCTTTATCATGTATCATTATGAAGTAATAAACAATTTACCTTAAATACAACATTTCAGGGGCAACAACTCAAATAAGATGTCATTTGATTGTTTCATACCAAAAATATCATATCTTCATCTCAATAAAGCAAACATTTTGCACTAGTTCTTTATATATAAATTTTAAGGTATCAGAGAAAAAGCAAAAACACACAAAAGACAAAATTGAAAACATGACCTGAGCTTTGACCTTGACCTCATTTTCTAAGTTAGGACCCATGGACCTCAAATAAAAAGACTGTGTTTATATGGCTTACGGTTTACGAGCTACAAAAATATAACGACAACATTATTTGGTAAAGGTAGATAACTCCTATTAGATTTCACCAAATCAGTCAACAATTCCTGAGGATGTAACGAACAAGTATGAAAAATAATTGTGTCGTTATCTTTTTAGGTTACGGAGGAGATACACTAACAGGAAAAAAAGTATTTGGGGAGATAACTTTTACAATAAAAAGGTCTTCGTCATAATCAGATGAGTTTTTAAAGCGAAATAACTTTTTGATATAATATCAAAATATCTAAGCGACTTCTTGCAAATACAACTTTATACCTCAAGAAAAGTGGAAAGACCTAATAATAATCAGAAAAAAATCAATAGGTCTTTCCATGGAAAAGTGGAAAGACCTAATAAAAAGATAGATATTTATTCTACCTCGTTTGGTTGACTGACTGGTCTTTATTGCTTGGTTAATCAAACACACCTTCTATGTTTAAAGTATTCATTACAAGGTATTTTATTTGACCAATATATATATATATATATATATTACATTTGTTGTTTGACCTGTTAGTCAAATGCGTTTTGATAAAATATATTTTTTCATTTTTTTGGTCTTTTGGAAAATGTTGTTTGTGCTGTATTTAGACCCCTCTAACAAGAAATTTGTTTTGCATGCACACGTATAAAAATTGCGGTTTTTATCCAACGCAATCATAGGTATGAACGTTGTTTTCAATTTAGACTTGTTTATATTTTTTCGTTTTGGCTTGTATTATATTTGCCTTCGGGTTTATATGATCCGTTCATCCTATTTTGACTCCTCAAAATTCAAGAGTCTATCCTATATTGAGGTAAACTGTATGCTTTCCAAATACCGTTTCGATTCCAAACATCACTGAAGAGACGTTAATTGTCAAAATCCGGATATGGTGTACAAAAACCTTTGCACCTTTTGTTTGCGGTATATCATCTTTTCCGCAAGTTTATTGTTTTCTGTTTAGTATTAAATTTATAATTAAGATCCATTTATTACATCGGTGATTCGTTTATTTGGCAATCGCCAATGGTAGTCAGCAGGGTTTAAGAACATTTGTTTAAATATTACACAGTCGGCTCAAATACGCATGAACGGACAACGGTGTTCCAAACATTCTCGTTTTGGATATTATTATTGCCAATTTCAGGATTTTTTTTTTCTCACAACATTCTGTCACCAGGACAGAGATACAAATTAAACATCCTGTTGCCGGAGCGGAGATATACATTAATGCATTCAAAAGATAACTTTTATATTTCCATTGACTTTTCAATGGAGTTAAATGTTTATGTATCTTTATGATTTTTTGAGTGTTTAATATAAAAGATTGCACATATATGTATCTCGTACGTATAAAAGATTGCACATATATGTATCTCGTACGTATAAAAGATTTAATCAATCTTTAATTATTCAACTACATTCATCTTTTAATATTTAATAAATACTTAGACATTTGTAGCTTCTGTTATTTCTATTTTTTAATTTCAACTTGATATCCGCCTGTAATTTGTCAGAAGTTTGTCAAATTTGTCAAATAATTGGAAAAAAATTTCATTATTGAATTGACAGAAAATTTTAACAAGAGGTATTGTGACACGTATGTGATAGTATTACACAACATGCCCTGATTTTAATTCAAAATATTCAGTAACCCAAATAAAATCAATAATGCTATATAATATATCAGTGTTTTTAAATTGTTTACCTGTTCAATATAAAGGACGCTTTAAACAATGATATCGACATACCTTTATAAATGTGTTGTTGTAAATACTGTGTCATCATAAAAAAAAATACGTTCGTTTGCAGAATTGTCTTTTACATTATGAATCCTGAGAATGTTGAAAACAAATTGTCTATCTTGTTCTTTTCTACAGGTGCATTTAAATGTAAAACAAGCTAATATTTGACTGATACACAATACGAACTTTGCAATGGTTGAGTGTAATTTACATGCGCAATCATTTATTTTTGTTGTGCAGAAAGCCGTATCGAAAAACAAAATGGTAGGTCATGTTGTTTTTTATATTAGAATATGAAAACGCACATAACAAAGAATAATAGCATAACTGTTATTGACTGTAACTGTTGACGTTTAGAAGCATATATTCAATATTTGTTTCCAAAAGAAGGAAATTGACTTCTCATAGCTTACTTAGGTAATTACAATCAAAACAAAGCTAAATAGGTGTTGCTCCATGTCATTTTACATACCTGTCAAAGAACCACAGACACGAGTCAGTGAAGTAGAATTAAAGTACATACATAACGAAGAATAAAAAATTGAAAGTGCAAGACAAGCCACAATTTTCTGGTCAGGAATTGACAAAAAAAAAAAGACAACAAATTCCATCTAACATTACACCGTATTTGCTGCATTTGGTTTAACATACCAGAATTTTGGAAAAATATTGCTCTTCAACTTGGTATTTGATTTGTCTTTCTAACTGTTGTGACTGATGAGTCTAATGTTAGCGAAACACGCGGCTGGTGCTTCAAATTGTTTCTTTTATATAGACGTCTTATGTTACAAAGAGTCCATCAGTCATATGCCAATTGTCCGTGTTCTTATCTTTATGTTAAGCGACTGTTTTTAAAATTCTGTATAGTTTTTTGTTATGAGATTTCATACTTAACATGAGTATCAGGGGGATCATGTTGGTATATAGGACCCTTGTAAGAGCTACATGTCTGTCGACCTTATTTCTTGATATAGTGACCAAGGTGGAAGTGAGGTAATTATGCCCGTTTTAAGATGTTATATACAGTAGGTCAACTTTAATTTGTACATGCAACGATTGTAAGGCTAACATATGTTAAAATGGCATCTTAAACTCATTTATTTCTGTTTAATGTTCGATGTTACATTTTTGTGCTTTGGTCAGTTTTTTCAAGATATTTTCTGCAAAAGGAAAACTGTATTTGTAAGGTGAAGACGTTTCGTGGCCTTACAGTTTGTTACAATCTTACATTGACCACATTTTGATCAAATTCCTTTTGCGGAATTTTCGAAAAAGAACAACAAAAAACAAAATCATTCCAAAATTGAATAAAACAATTAAATAGTATAATCTCTAAAGATTCATTTTCATAAGATCTTCTGATAGCAAAAGTCAAAATAAGTCTTCATGTTCTACCCCGGAAAAATATTACATTCGCTGTAATTGGTAAAACCTTCCGGAATTTTAGGTCCTAAATGCTTTTCAACTTTGTATTTTAATTGGACTTTTAACGTTTTTGATGATTAGTCTTTGTAACATAAATGCGTGTCTGGCAGACAAATGTTTCAGCCTTGTATTTATGATGATTGTAATCCAATATATCCGCATAATATGTACACTGCATCTTCCCGAATTCATCGGTACAGTACTAGTTCTTTCTTAATTTTTGGAAAGAAGCATTTGAAATAAAACTTGTTTTGTAGTAATATTCAAAGCGTGATGAAGTTGAAAACTTATCTTTAGCACAGTTACCTAATTTCAAGAATCAAAAATCCATTACTTATAACGTATACCTTTTCATTGGAATTTCATTACTAACAGTAGACAGAAACTTGCGCTTATTAAATGACTCGTTATTGATTTTTAAACTTTAGTAGCTATATACCTGTCGTGCCGCATATTATTAACTCGACACATACTTTAAATCCAAATTAAATGTTATTCGAAAAGTTCATTACGCCTTGAAGCAATGATTGTAAGCTTAGTGCCTGCTTAAATTAAAAAGGAAGGGGTTCGTTACGTAAACTACTTACATTCAACATATCACAATCAGGATTAGGACACAATCGGTAAATTTACAAATCAGAGGTATGTTACTGCTGTCAAACGGGAAGTTGACAAATGGTAAGTTGAAGTCAACACGTTTTTCATATGAAAATTAGGTAATTGTTGTTTAAAGATAATTAAAGACACTATAAAGATGCTTGATTTCTTGACAACACATGAGCTACGTTTGGGGACGTGTTTTTGCAATAACCAATCTGCATTCCTATGGGAACTAACTGTGCTCTCTTCTTGCCGACTTCTTCCTTAACGCATATGAGAATTATAAAATTTGTTTAAAAATTGTGCATTGCTAAAATTGACAGAAAATATCTGTTTTTACTTGATATGCCATAAGACATGATTTTTTTTTTTTTTTTTTCGCTTTATCTCATTTAGTAATTGGTTAATATGGATAATTGCCATCTAAAAGTGGTTTTTCTGGCAGTGGCTTTGTTACCTTTAAGAGGAGGTAAGGTTTTATTTTACTTCTAAACATATTTAACTGATAACGTGTATACAATAGAAATTAAGAATATGTGGTATGATTGCCAACAAGACAACTATCATCCAGAGACTAGACGTGTATGTTAGTAGTACCTACATAAATATGTCATCTTACGGTCTTTAACAATGAACAAATGTAAAACAATCTTAACGACACAGCAAACGGCTTGATTAATGCAAAAACAAAACCTTTAAAGCAAATTTAACAGACGACAGCAACCAAAGACAACCACACACAATTACAGGCTCTCTGTTTGGATCAATCATATACAAAATATTACATTTGATAATATTTGCCAGCGTTAAACCTTCTCCATATCTAGGACAACACAACAGAAGAACAGACGTCTAACTATCTTAACAAATAGTTCAAACAGAAGTTACATCTTATAGAAGATGCATTTGATTTCAATAAGCCTTCAATAAAACATATAGTTTCGTTTTCTATGGTATCATAGTAATTTTACATTTGCAAAATAAAACACATATTGAACATGTTGACGATAAATCAAATCCTGCCAAATTCGATAATTTTGATAATATTATGTCACAATATTAGCCTCTTTTAAACGAGTGTTTGCCTCTTAGTTATACAAGTGAGCTTGACATGACGTAAATTGCTGAGACTATCCGGTCAATTTTGTATTTTTAATAAACGTTCCATTTATTTTCTAACCTCTTCACTGATAATGCATTATCCTCTGTGAAGTCGCTCTGTTCAGTAGTACTCAAGAAAAGTGTGACAATTTTTAATAACTATGTCAACGTACTTAATATTTCTGAATTTTACAATATGTTGAATATAGTAACAATTTTTACTTTTTCAAGTACTTCTGAATAGAATGACTAAATATCTTGTCAAACGTTTGCCAGTGACGAGTTGTAACGTATGCACACTCTCTGCAAACAGGATGTAGGTGTCTGACCGATTCGGACAAAAAAGTATTCATGCGTTAAAACGCATCACTGTCATTTATTTGAGGTCAATTTTTCTAGTACAACATAATAAAAGTGAGACAGAAATAAGTGTTGTACGAACGGATGAAAGACGGAGCTCCCAGTTTTAGAGTCCGGGTATAAAAAGACAAAGGAAACATATTGATAGTATCATTCTTATTCTTTACAGACATGCACTAGAATACAAAGTACTGATATACATTTGGTGCAAGATATGTGTATACAAAAACATTTATATAAGTCTAAATTGAAAACAACGTTCAAACCTATGATTGCGTTGGATAAAAACTGCAATTTTTATACGTGTGCATGCAAAACAAATTCCTTGGTAGAGGGGTCTAAATACAGCACAAACAACATTTTCCAAAAGACCAAAAAAGTGAAAAAGTATATTTAAACAAAACGCATTTGACTAACAGGTCGAACAACGGATATTCTTAAACCCTGCTGACTGCCATTGGCGATTGCCAAATACACGGATCACAAGATATAACAAAATGGATCTTTATTATTAATATAATACCAAACAGAAAACAATAAACTTGCGGAAAAGATGGTATACCGCAAACATGAGGTGCAAAAATGTGTACACCATATCCGGATTTCGACAATTAATGTCTCTTCAGTGATGTTCGGAATCCAAACGGACGATCGGATTATATAAACCCAAAGGCAAATATAATACAAGCCCAAACGAAAAAATATAAATAAGTCTAAATTGAAATCAACGTTCAAACTTATGATTGCGTTGGATAAAAACCGCAATTTTTATACGTGTGCATGCAAAACAAATTTCGTGGTAGAGGGGTTTAAATACAGCACAAACAACATTTTCCAAAAGACCAAAAAAGTAAAAAGTATATTTAAACAAAACGCATTTGACTAACAGGTCAAACAACGGATGTTCTTAAACCCTGCTTACTGCCATTGGCGATTGCAAAATAAACGGATCACAAGATGTAACAAAATGGATCTTTATTATTAATTTAATACCAAACAGAAAACAATGAACTTGCGGAAAAGATAGTATACCGTAAACATGAGGTGCAAAGATTTTTACACCATATCCCGATTTCGACAATTAATGTCGCTTAAGTGATGTTAGGAATCCAAACGGTATTTGGAAGGCCATATAATTTACCTCAATTTAGAATAGACTCTTGAATTGTGAAGTGTCGAAATAGGATGTACGAATCATATAAACCCGAAAGCAAATATAATACAAACCCAAACGAAAAAATATAAATAAGTCTTAATTGAAGCAATAATCAAACGCAAAAATAAGGAATGAACTAACGACCGTTAATCGGAACGATATCATGGCATGAGACATTTTTATATTTTGTTGTAAACAGAAAATCTGTAATAAAGATTGTTTCTTTTCAATCCAAATAATAAATAATGAACATGGTCGTCAATGTATCCCTGGATTAATTTTAGTCCAACCACAAACGCGTTTTACAGTGGTACTGTGGATCCATTATTTTTCGTTGGAAACCAATTTCCATGGGTTTCGTGGGCACAGGTGAACAACGAATTCAAATGTTCGTCGAATTACAAATTTGCTATAGGCTTTGAATGCAGAGAGTGGCAAAACCACGAAACATGCAAGTTTTCTTCAATCCACAAAAATCGATACCCACGAAAATAAATGAGTCCACAGTAATAATGTAAATTCAATATACATTCTGTTATGTTTACAATACTAAAAAATTGACAACTTATATCAAAACTGAAGCTTCAGAAAACATTGGTCAACTAAATAAAAAGCATCGTTAGTATTTCTCATTTCTATAAAACTAATATGATTATTTGGTAACAAAATCGATTGCACTATAATATTTAGATTACTTGACAAGGTGTTCTGTTGTGTTATTTAAATTTTATTTTTTTTAATTTTGCTCAAAAGCATTCTTCAGTCATACAAATTATGTTGCTGTGATAAATAAATCCGGCTTTTCGTCTCTGTTAAGTGAATGGGAGAGTTAAGTGACAGAGTACACTTTAATGAACATGACTTCAATCTTAAAATCATTGAGTTCATTTGTCATATGCAGATGAGTTTATTTGAATGATCTAAGTAGGTTTTTGATTTTTAATTTCGTTTTCAAATTCAGCTTCCTTATCCTACATCAAATTAGAGGGATTCAAAACAATAAGGAATAGTGCCCCAGTGTATCAATTAATTTGCGCCTCGAACAAGGACTTTCTTGGATGTACTGTAGAGTTTTTATTGAATGGAATAACACAGGAAAATATAAGATATGCTAATAATACATGCTATAAAGGAAATGGCGTGTGCAATCCTTTTCAATGTGCTTGTTTTGATGGATGTAAAAACTTAACCTGGTACTACACTCAACATAAAGACATAGAAAACCAATTATTTGAATGTGATGCAAGAATTAAGGACAATCATGTTTTTTACCAGGTTATTGCATCTGGCAGTTTTAAAGGTGGGGGTAGGTATTTAACTAACAAACTTGTGTGTACAATGATAAAATGTAAATTTTCGTACTTAAGATAATTTCTGGTTTGATAAAAGTTTGAATAAGATACGCCTCAAAAGTTAAGTTTCAGAGAGCATTTTCAATGTTTTCATAATCTACAAGAAATGTTTTAGGGAGTATTTAATTATAAAAATGACATGATTACGTTATGTAAATTATTTAGATTTTAAGTGCTTGAGGTGTATGATAATAATGTTTTAAGAAAGATCTTGCAAATACAAAACTATTTGTGTAGGTATATTTTGACAATATGTTAGTAGGTGGTAAACTTGCTACTCATATCAGAATTCATTATTCAATTAAAAAGCATAGATACTCTTGTTCTGAATTATCAAGTATCGTGTTTAGTTATTTTATACATAGAATACATTTCAAGATTGTTTTATTGATTATAAGTATATGCATTAATATTATGCTAATTTGATACTATTCACTAATTCCTTTATTTGAGCAATTTATACTTTTAGATTTTTTTAATGGGGAAACGATAATTAAAAGAATTAGTGGGAATCCTTCACCTTCTCAGAAAGCACCAATGTATACAGATTCGATAGATGGAACATTCAGAAAAGAAGAAAACATCTCCAGTAAGTTTGTGTACCCCCTGTTTGTGTACCATGCAACTTGCGTCAAGTTTCCCTCGGGAACTACAAATCAAAAGTTCCTTAAATTTTGAATCTAGCTTTACGCGAGTATCAAATTTATGTTTAACGAATATGTATACACTAGTACTTTGACACATAAACGCCACATTTAAAAATTGCGTCGCATATTTCGCAGGAACTACAAATCACTACTTCCTGTTATTTGCCGTTTAGCTTTATGCGAGCATACGTTGATATGGGTTTCCAAATCAATCATTTACCAACGTCCTGTTAACAGAACACTTATAGTAAAAATACCATGATAAAGGAACAGTAGCCCACAATTCAGCTTGTTATTTACATATATAGATTTCACTATTTATTGCATCATATTTTTGTGGTATAAATAAGGTGACAGACATACTATCTTATGTCACTGATGAGTCTTTTGTAGACGAAACGCTAGTCTGGCGTTCAAAATTTTAATCCAGGTATCTATGATGAGTTAAATTGCAATCCAATTTTACTAATGATTACGAACATGTATTATACATTGTTATAGACAACAAATAAAACACCCAGCCATTTAAGGTTAGATGTTTCGGATTACCTGGAAATAGCAATGCTACACACAAAGGAAAACATTCAACACGCACACGACAACACATCATATGATATAATCTTGTCCTATTTCAATATATGCAGATTTTACAAAAAAAGCTAGATCGGTTATTTATATAACTCATGAAAATATCAATCGAGGTTGTGAATTTAAATTCCTATTTTAGGTACACCATTTCAATAGTTTTATATATATAAGACATTCTGATGTCCTATGATACAAAAATATGAAGGTAATGTACGGCGTAATATCATGTACAAAAGCTACGCATCGTACTTATACCGCCGAAAGCACGTATTACAAAGCAGAGATGGAGACCAGTTGCACTAAGATGGCAAGCAACTCTTTCTACATCAGGGCTGCTGGTATTACTTTATCTTGTGCCAGAATTTCTTATAAATTTTTCTTACGTTATATTGTTCATTGTTGTAAACATTGCATCTTTTAATCGTAAGAATGATCGAATCGTCAACACATAAAATTGCTTTTCATATCAGTATGATCTGTCAATTTTTACACAATCTACATGAAAGTCTAAACACACCAAATTTTGTACAATTTTTAGCTAGATAATTCTCAAACTGTGTGCACCAAAGCTGAATTCAGGTAGTATATAATTGTCTGTTTTCGGTAGTCACTCCTGCATTGTAAAATTTTAGTTTTTTTAAAGTCGAGATTTATGTACTAGTAAGCTTATTTGTGTTTGTTAATTTCTCATTGGCTATAAGTATAGGGGAGGGTTGAGATCTCACAACACATTTTAACCCCACCGCTTTTTTTTTTTTTTATTTTGGTTAATTTATATGTTTTGGAGTTTAATGTGGTGCAAATTTCGCTGAACTAGTTTACATTATTGCTTAAGGGCTAGCTAAAGCACACTTCCGGGTGCGGAATGTTCTTGCTGCAATAAAACCCCATTGGCGGTCTTTCGGCTGTTTTCTGCTCTTTGGTCGGGTTGTAAATTCTTTAACATATTTGCCGTTTCCATTCTCTAATTTGATATTCTTTTATTACTAATATTATCACTATTAGCAGATCTTTAAATGTATCCATTTGTTCACAATATGTGCTGATTCGGGAATATGACACACAAACTCTCATCATACTATTGACATCGTTCGACGATTTTCTCGGCCTTATTGTATTATATGTGAACGTGTTTTGGTTTGGTTTACTTTTCTTAATTTGGTTTATAATGCGTAAAGCGATTCTGCTTTATCAATGTTTTCATATTTTCGTTTATTGGTAGCTTTTGTTGTGTGGAAACAGTAGAATATGTTTTGTGCAAATCGTTTGTCATTCCTTCACCGTTTGGAGATAACTCATTGCTTGGCGGCGTGACAGACTATATATATATAGATATATCTTTCTTATAAATCCGAGAAACACAACCGTTTGTATAAGTTTTGGGTTTTCAAATATTTTGGCCTCGAGCATCACTGAAAAATTACTTATTTCCGAAATGCGCAACTGCTACAATTTGCATTGTCATGTAATTAAAAATATGTATATTGGGACAAAAAATCTGCAAATATTTTATATCTCCAATATCATTATGCTAGTTTATTTTATTTAATGTCTAACTAAACAAATATGATATTAATCTTTTTTCTTTCAGATTATAATCTTTGGTTGCTTATCATTAATACAGTCTTCACTTGTTTGATTTTAATCATCATCTGCATCGGACTTTGTATGAGCCGTAAATGGATTTGGCGCAAAATGCGCAAAAAAAAGGTATGATTTGTATTTCTTTGACAGTGATTGAATTAGAACGTATGAACTTATTCAATACTATATTCTACATAAAAATGCCTGTACCAAGTAAGGATTACGACAGTCGTTTGATGTGTTTGAGCTGATGATTTGGCTTTTGGTCAGAGACTTTCCTTTTTGAATTTTCCTTGGATTTTTTTCTGTTTTTTTTCCTTTAATTGAATTCTGTCTTTTATCGATAAACTAAGGTTCAAATCCCCTCAACATGTTCACGTCAGATATATTTCTCTATGCATTTAAGATCCTTTTTGTTAAACATTTTCTCTTCAAATTCAGATTTTCATACATCTTTGGCTTTCAAATGTTTCGGTTTGAGATTTTCACGTGATGGACTATCAAGTATAACGATTTGGACATATTCTTCATCTGTTGGGTAAATATGTAAATTTCTATAAGGCAGAAAGTTTGACGGAGATATTTGTTAGACGAATGAACAAAAGAAAGACTGACAGATAGACGGACGAACAAACCAATAAACAAGGTGAATGTGACAAAACCTCACACTTTTCAATCGAGGGTCTATTTTCAAAAAATCTGCCCAAAACCTAATACAGATTGGAAATTCTTTCTAGGTTAAGTATATCAACTTTAACTTTTTAATTTCTGATGATTCATTTATTTTTGTTGATACCAATATTCGTGGATTGAGGAAAATTGGCATTTTCGTGAATATTTGATTTCGTGAATTTGCCAAAGTCTGCATATAACAGTATGGAATATTTGTAATCCGTGGAACACTTAATTTCATGGTCCATCGGTACCACGAAATCCACTGAAATTGTTATCAAACGAATAATGATGTGTCCACAGTAAGATGAAACTATCTATCGGTGTATCTTTCCTATTGTAAATTTCGAAATCCTTGATTGCAGTTGAACTGAAGTAAAATGTCCAAGTTGTTTCAGATTATTATCTTACTGATTAGGCCAATGTAAAACAGTGCAAGCCACGATGATAGTTTATTGTTGTCGCTTGCCAGGTTACAATGTAAGTAGATATCAAATACAGAAAGCTGAAAAGCATTTACTTTTTTCTCTGTTTGAGTCTAGATATCCAAAGCAAACTTAACTTAACAATAGACAAAAATGCTGCAAACATCAAAATTGAAAGAGGATGATTGAACAGAGGCGAAAGGACTATAAAACCACGCGACTTTTCTCACGTATCATAAATGTTTTCACATGCCAAACATAAATAATTTCTCCTATATTCTTCACAACAAAGGTATATATATAGCTGCATGGGTAAGGACAGAAAAAATAAACTTAAAACTTTATTATAAATCCAAAAAATAGAACTTTTACCAATCCCTTTATAAATTTCTGAAACCACATTTTAAATTGTGTGTGAGTACGTACGATTCATACTTTTATTTAAAAAGAATCGAGTGACTTTTATCATATTTACCACACAAGCCCAAGGTTAGCACTCTCTGTACACTTGAACTATATTTGATATACTTGTTTTTGTAAATGAACTGTTTATAAGTATTATATACTAAGTATATTCTACTCACATACAAGGATGACCTAAACACGTATTTTTCATAAGGTTTTGGAGTTTTTGGTTTTAAATGCTGTTCAATATATTTAGTTAATTTGATCAATAAATACATTTCATTAATATACTACTGGAACTTCTTATGTTTACAAAACGCACGTCTCGTATAACAAGTCATAATCATGTTATCTTTGATAAGTTTTATTTCAGATTGCGGTAATTTATACAAGATAATGAAAAGGCATATCTTAATTAATGTTTCGACACTCTTTCAGAATGACCGTTGTAATAACAAGGTCATGGATTTCATATCTAAGTATTACATTATCATGTTGACAAATATTATAAAAGACTAAAACGATGATTCTTTGATTACAGCAGCAATGTCTTCTTGGAACTGCAAAAGCTTTTATCAAATTTTTAATTGTTTCATATTACATGTATTATGTTTCATCTCGTTTAGGGGGCCTCGGTGGCCGAGTGGTTAAAGTAGTTACTACAATGACTGTAATCACTAGCCAGTCAACACTGAGGTTGTGAGTTCGAATCGCGCTCGTGCGGGTGCACTCGACTCCAATCTTAATTGACTAGGATCGTCAGTTTTCCTATCGAAGGTCGGTGGTTTTCTCCGGGCACTCCGGCTTCCTCCACCAATAAAAATTGGCCGCCACGAAATAGCCCAAAAGCGGTGCTGCTTAAAAGTGGCATTAAAACACCAAAAATCAAAACAAATCATCTCGTTTACCATTCATTTCTTTCTACTTAGTTGTATTCCTTTAGCGTTCATTTTTAATGTTTAGGTTGCACACCATAAGAATCAATTGTATCATGTTTCTATGTTCTATTATCTATTTCAGAAAACGTTGTATGTAGCAAAAAGGTAACAAGCAGTACAGTAGAAGTGGTAAGTTCATGTTATCATAAATTAACAATTTGAGTTGAGTACAATCCCTAGTCCTAAGATGATTGCCACTCATCATAATGATTTCTCTCTTATCAGCATAGTTAACAAATGCACCAGGTTCTTTAACAGTCTTCGGTGGTAGACAAGACAACAACCACAACAATATGTTATTCTTTGCAAAACCAATGAAATCAAAGGTACAGAGAATGAAATGAAAACAAGATTTAAAAAAATAGTATAATAAAGCTGAGCTAACATTGATGTAGTTTCCTCGTAGTATATGTCATATACAATAAACTCCTCATAGATACCAGGATTGAAATTTTGTACAATAATTCCTTATCTAAGCTAAGATAATTTATCATTTGTGTGCGTTCGAAGTGCTTTTCTGGAGATATTTTCATTTAGGAACGCTCCTGGACAAAAACATTTGAAAGCCAAGGATAAATGAGTACTATAACACGTGAAGAGTTTTATAACCAAATCGATATTTCACACAAAGCTTGTTTCAGCACTGGCAAATAAGAAATTACGAATAATTTTCAAAGTGATAAATATTTTACTTTATAAAACAAATGTTACATAAAAATTGAAAAACACTTTCCTTTCTCTATATTGATAATGACGTCAGCCATTTGCGTTCATTTTTAATGTTTAGGTTGCACACCATAAGAATCAGTTGTATCATGTTTCTATGTTCTATTATCTATTTCAGAAAACGTTGTATGTAGCAAAAAGGTAACAAGCAGTACAGTAGAAGTGGTAAGTTCATGTTATCATAAATTAACAATTTGAGTTGAGTACAATCCCTAGTCCTAAGATGATTGCCACTCATCATAATGATTTCTCTCTTATCAGCATAGTTAACAAATGCACCAGGTTCTTTAACAGTCTTCGGTGGTAGACAAGACAACAACCACAACAATATGTTATTCTTTGAAAAACCAATGAAATCAAAGGTACAGAGAATGAAATGAAAACAAGATTTAAAAAAATAGTATAATAAAGCTGAGCTAACATTGATGTAGTTTCCTCGTAGTATATGTCATATACAATAAACTCCTCATATATACCAGGATTGAAATTTTGTACAATAATTCCTTATCTGAGCTAAGATAATTTATCATTTGTGTGCGTTCGAAGTGCTTTTCTGGAGATATTTTCATTTAGGAACGCTCCAGGACAAAAACATTTGAAAGCCAAGGATAAATGAGTACTATAACACGTGAAGAGTTTTATAACCAAATCGATATTTCACACAAAGCTTGTTTCAGCACTGGCAAAATAAGAAATTACGAATAATTTCCAAAGTGATAAATATTTTACTTTATAAAACAAATGTTACATAAAAATTGAAAAACACTTTCCTTTCTCTATATTGATAATGACGTCAGCCATTTATACCTTTTCGTGACTTATTTCTGTAGATCTCTGAATACAAAATCACATCACATTTGTGATTTTTGTCATGATTTATTTCTGTCTTATTCTTAATTATTTATTGTGTAATAATCGAAAAGAATACACCAAGGGGACGGTTGATTGGAGGTGTCCATGTCACTGTTTGCTACACAATTGCAAATAATCACGAACATTTTCCCATTTTGTTCATAGAGCATTTCGTGTGTTTTTGTATTTTCACATCCTTGTCTTTTAATTATTTGACTAAGTGCGTTTTTTATGAAGTCTTTTAGTAAGGAAAAGCTCTTCATACGCTCAAAATTATAAACAAATTTCAACATGGTCGATACAGCTACTGGTGGACTTTAAGTCCCCAAGGGTATCATCAGCTCAATAGTTAGTGCTTCTGTACCGACATGATTTATAACATATGTTTGATAACTTCTACGATGACATATTTAGAAAACATTATGGCTTACCTCCTTCAGGTATTTGCCCTTATATGAATGTGTCTATTTGCAATGTCGTTTTTGGTAAAGTAGCTGTTCACGTGTTAAGTCTCTAAATGAAAAAGAAAGGATACACAGTCCGTTTCTATGTAGTTGGCGTTTGTTTTTGTTGCAGTTCAGTGTTTCTATTTTTCCGTTGTTTTTCTCTTATGGTTGATGTGTTTCACTCGCTTTTGCTTTGTGACCCGGATTTTTTTCAGTTTAATCGATTGATGACTATTAAACGACGGTATATTACTATTGCCTTTATTACACATCAATGGTTTTCAATTTTTTCCCTTTGTGCGTTTTTTACGAAGATCAATTCTAGAAAAGCAATTCGAACGCATAACATTTCATGATATACAGTGTACTTTTTGCTAACAATAAACAGTGTGAATTCTAAACGCTGTTTTTTTTTCCTTTATTGATTTATTTTTATATGGAGAATAGTAAATTGCTAGAAAGAAAATTGGGTAGAAATAACCATTACATTTCTATTCCTTAAAGATAGAATACATAAAAAAAAAATAAACACAATGTATGCAAATCAGTACCATTTTAAAAAAGTGTTTCCATTCAACTATGGTCTACATTTATGTTTGAAGTAAGTTCCACCATTTTATAAGTGTCCGCATAAATTTAAGATAGTGAAATAATATTCTTTTAGATTCAATTACATACAGCGCACTATGCATGATCTAAAAATATAACAACAAATGTCACTAACAGTGTTCCATAGAGTTTTTCAATCATCAGCCTTTGTTTACTTATTAACCTTTTAATGAGTTATTTATTAAATTGTGCAGAACCTATATTTTAATAATGATACTATGTCTAGATCTTAGAATGATACGAACCCTGATTAACAGCTGGGGTTGGACACTCTGCAACCTACCTAAAATCTAGCTAAGTTATGAAATTTATCGTAAAAATTAGCTTTTTAAAAATTCATTGAAAAAAAACCAAGGAAAACTTAAAAAACAATTGTTAAGAGAATAATTGCAGGTTTTTTCACAAAGAATTATACTTGGTATTTAAAAAAAAAAGAAACAAACAAAGAAACAAAGAAATGAAGAAACTACTTAGTTATGAGAATATACTAGTATTGGTAAACATTAACACTTAAGTTATGAAAATACAGGTTACCTAAACATGCTAAACGCCTATTCCAAAATATAAAATTCTATGTGCCTTCATTTCAAATACAAGAAAGTTGTAACTTCTCCCGGTTAAAAAAAAATATCTTTATGTATCATTAGAAAAAATATTGTATACTGATCAAACATATATGGTTGCTAGGGATTTTTCTGTATCTTTACAAATATCAGGGGATATGAAGGAACAAGGAAAAAAATATTGGAACATGACCTTTGACCTTTACCTTTTTTTTTAAGTTGAGACCCATGGACCTCAAATATAAAAATTCAAGGTCTATACGGCTTACGATTTAAGAGTTGCTAAAACATAACGACATTTTCAACTAGTAAAGATAGATAACTCTTATAAGATATCAATGGATTGCTTCGATCCACAAAAAAGTGGAAAGACCAAATAATAATCAGAACAAAATCAAAAGGTCTTTCCACGGAAAAGTAGAAAGACCTAAATATAATTAAATTATAATTGCATAAACACTGCTTAATGCTCTTCAACTTCGTTTTTGATTTAGAAAGGAAGGCGAACGAAACCTAACGGGGAAATGAATGACAATAAACTAATCTTAGAAACCGGGATTAAAATTTTCTACGCCGGACGAGCGTTTTATGACAATGCAATGACAAAATAAGAAAAACGAGCAAAAGCGAAACAACAGTTTTGAAAATACAACACAGAAAGCTAAAGATTGGGCAACACGAACCCAAACAATCCGAGGGTGATTTTAGGTTTTCCGAAAAGATAAGCAGATCTTGTTCAACATGTAGCACACGTCGATTTTCTCCAGTAAGTACCAACTCGGGTGTAAGTGAAATTCGGTAGGTCACATTCGATGACAAAAAGGACTATAATTTATAACATTATAGCATGAATAAATTGTACTTTGTAAAAAATAAACTCTGATTAAAACAAAAATACTCTGAAACTGACATTATCAGGATGCTCGATTTCTTGATTGACAACATATTTGTTACGTTTGCAGAATGTATTTTGCAACAAACAATCGGCATGTCCAAGTGCATCAACTGTGCTCCTATTCTTGCAGACTTGCTTCTTTATTCATATGAGGCTGACTTTATACAGGAACTTCTTCGGAAGAATGACAAAAAGCTAAAATCATCATTTAACTTCACTTTCTGCTATAAAGATGATGCCATCTCACTAAATAGTTCAAAGGTTTGTGACTATGTTGAACGCACATATTCCATTACGTCTACCTCATATCTTGGCTTACATCTAGAAATTGACACTGAAGATCAGTTGTCAACAAAACTTTACAACAAATGAGATGATTTCAGCTTCCTTATTGTGAACTTTCCATTTGTATATATGTAACAAACTTCAGTTATTTATATATATATATATATATATATATATATATATTAGGATAGTATTTTATGTAAGGACATACTGTTTAATACAGGACTATATAGTCAAGCTGACCTTGTATGTGTATCACTATATTAAGCACCTATTGAAATTTTACTGGTGAGTTTCAAATCATTCGACACTTGGCCATTGAGTTATGCAAACGCTTGTGCTGAGTTAAAAGTTGGTTAAAGTAGCAGTTGGGTATCATAATTGTCAGTTCAGGATATAGATATTCTAAGGCTAATTATCACAACACTCAGTTAAGACATTTATACTAATTCATATAGTACATTGAGGACTGTTTTGCTGTCGAGATGTTATTTCTTGCGGTTCAGAAAGTCAATATGCATGCTAAATTATGCAAATATATAGATAACGAAAGTAATTTTGGGGTTTCTATATTTATTTTGCAGGGGGTTAAGGCCTGGTTTTGGTTTGCATTTAGCACGCTGAAAGTACGTCGGTAATATATGTTGTCGGAGATACAAATGGTGTCAGTGGTACAATGGTATCAACTTGATGTTTGCTGATTTAGATTGCAACGCCTGGAGTCGCTGAAATTATACATAAGACATATGTAAAAGTTCGTTAAAATACATATCAAAGGAATCGAGCAATCTTGCAGTACTAAACAGTACACTGAAGTTATTATTGCAGTAAAAATGTATTACCCAGTGTTCTTTTCATCAATTAGGAATCAATTAAAAATGTGTAGAAATAGTTATACTCGTCCGTTTCAAAGGAATTAAAAGAAATTCAAGGGAACAACGCAATGCTATATTCTACAGTGCGTGGAACGTTTAATCTTACCGGGAAGTGTGCAGAGCAAATGATGGTGTGGAGACTGTGCAATCGTTAAGTTATTATTTGTTATTTTTTTTAGTTATATTTTTGTTTATTCATTTGCTTATTTCATTAATGTTTAATTTACTTTTTTTCTTTATTAAATTTATATTCAAATTTAGTTTTGTATAACATTGGCTACTTTACAATCCAACGAACTTACTTCGTTACAATGTATAACGAGTTGACTATTATGGAATATCTGTTTCACAGATGGCAACGGATATAATCTAATCGTCGTGCCCACAATCCTGACCTTTTTTCTCCGAATGTAATCTACTAAATAAGATTATCACTGGAAATGAACATAAATGAACAACACAACGGGCTCCACATGTCGAGCAGAATCTTCTCATCATTTCGGGGTACCTGGAATCTCTCCCGGTTTTTGGTTGGGTTCGTGTTACTCATTCTTTAGTTATCTATGAAGTGCTTTGTATATTGATGTTTGTCTTGGAGTCTTTTTCTTTTTTCTGCCATGACGTTGCTTATTTCCGACTTATGAGTTTGAATTATTGAAAAGAAAGGACATGGTGTATCCATTCCTTATGACATAAAATCAGTATGTGCACAGCAAAAAAACACTAAAAGCAAAAGAACAGCAATATTATTGCTGTTCTTCATTTAAAAGTCACAGTCAGTCCTTCAGCAAGGAGCAAAACAAACCTTTCACCTCACTGCAAGCTTAGTATGGCCCCTAGCATCGGTTTGGGTGGAATGCCTTTTTTTTAATTTTATAGTTATTTAGATTATAACACAATGTTGACTGCTGTACAACTATTTTTTGACATTTTTTACCTATCATGTCTGTTTTGTTCACACATCGTTGTCAATATAATGGAATTTTGTGCGACTGTCATACTAGTGAGAGGTTTAGTTAGCTATAAAACCAGGTTTTATCCACCATTTTCTACATAAGAAAATGACTGTACCAAGTCAGGAATATGACAGTTGTTGTCCATTCGTTTGATGTGTTTGAGCTTTTGATTTTGCCATTTACTTAGGGACTTTCCGTTTAGAATTTTCCTCGGAGTTCGGTATTTTTGTTATTTTACTTTTTGCAAAGCGACGATCACGGCACAACTGTAAATTGAAGAACAAAGCCATGGAGTAATATCGATAAAATTAATCTGGCAAAGAAATCGAAATGTACTGTCATAATTTAGCCCGGCAATCACATGGAAGTGTGCAAAAACAATACAAACATTAAGACAACCACGGGGCACATCGATACATATATATATATTAGATAACTTGGCAGGAAATAACGTATGCATGTGGCAAATAATGTTCCGTAGGTGTCGTTCGCCTCTCTTTTATATAGTTTATTAAACAATATTAAAGAAACAAAATTCAATGTGAATCGTGGATTCTAAATTATTAAGAAAATACAATGGCCATTTCATAAGTCTGTGTGTAATTTAAATTTTCAATTCAGAATAACGGATATACAAAACAGAACTTCAATGACCACATACAGTTTACCCTTGTTATCTCGACTTCGTTTGACTCAAAATTTCGGAAAATTCGACATTTTCCCATGATTTCGAAATGTGTACCATGTGAATATATGTTAATTAACTGGATGAGTCTTAATTTTGGTCGAGTTGAACCAAATATACAGTCCCAAGGTTAACAAAAGCATTAAAATTGCATTTTTCATCTCTATCCAATACAAATATGTCAAAACATGATCTTGAGGATTTAAATGGATTGACGAGTTTGATTGACACAACGTCCGTAAGTAAGTTTTCGGTCATTGACCACTGTATTTATTGATGACACTCTTTTCCAATTAGTGTCAAACTTACAATATGTTTGATAACCAATATAATAAATTAGCGAAACGTTGCTATAGATTATGAAAGTTTCTTCAAAATGTTTTATAAACAATGAACCATAATCATACATTAATGAGTTTGGTTGTGCATAAAGTGTAGATTGGAGGATGAATCTACTCAATCATTGTCTTTTCTCTTGCGAAATAAGATCGACATAAAAGAAAATGAAAAGAAATCTAAATTCCATCAAATCTCTTTTATACGAGAACGAAAAACTTTGTCAACTTAAAAATAACCCAAAGTCGCTTAACACTACAGGAAAAAAATTATAACTGTACAAAGAAATAACTAAGAGACAAAATCAAATCATTGTATGATAATAATAATAGACTATTGCATACAAAAAGATCGGTTTTTAGACCTGAATATTGTTCCCCTACCCATGTCCATCTGGATTTATTTTAGCCTCACCAAGCTAAGCAAGAGTCGTGTCCCTAGGTTTGGTATTCCTTTAGGTTCAATCACGAGTATCTTAAAATATTGCTCTGGTCTGGTTGACTTCGAGGTAACGAGAGTCGACTGTATTTGATAAAGTAGTTTGAACAGCCGTAAACTACTGTTGCACTTTTTGATCTTGGCGATATAGTACAATGTACACATGTGGATATAGTCTGTAAAGTTCTTGTCATTATTGTACATGTGTATGTCCGGCATACTGCAAACTCAAGACCCTGATGAGACCACCTGCTGTGTCAAGAGGTATTGGTGACAAAACAAGTGTAATATAATTGCAAAATATTAATTAGGGGTAATAAAGTTACAACAAGGATTAAAACAGAAAATCACAGGTAAATCTAAAAAACTTTTTCAAAAGTCACAAAAATATGAAGATATAGAGAAAGTCCAAATAACTGTTCATTTTTGGAATATAATAGACCGGAGGCCTGTAGGGCCGACGACCATTATTTCCTAGGAATTGACAGTTATTCTAACTTCCGCATATTTAAGATACGCCTTAGATATTTAGAACGAATCTTTAGATTATAACACTTTAAAGAATTGTATTTCATTTTGTAATGAGTTCATTTTATTTTCACTATGGTGTACCAAATAATGCACAGGCTAAATGTAAGATCAAGCTGACCATCAGTAGAATAATTACTATTGAAAGATCTTGATTAAAGTTCATCCAGATTTATGTTGAAAGTCAATAAATACGCACGTCCTTCTTGTCGTGGGATTGAAAAGATAATCATTTGAGTCTTCAAGTGATATTTCGGGAGAGAAAACAAAACTAGTATTAATGCATATATGTTAATGGATTATATTTGTTTTTGTTTAATGAATCCTGGGTGTGGAATCATCTTACAAAAATGAAATGGTACAACTAGAATAAATTTCCAGGTACATGTATGTTACACTCTAGTCGAGATTACTTAACTGATAAGGGTGTGCTCGAATATAAGTCATTTCAGAAACACAATTTGGTTCTATATTTCAAACCATTCTATGAGATCAAATAAAATTAAACAGTGTTTCATGCATAACCTAACATTTTTTTTTCTTTCCCTTTTATAACAACGAAAACAATATTGTGCATATTTTAGATAAGTCTTAAATAACAATATACAACAAGCAAACTGATTTTTTTTCATTCTTCCCTATCATCAGAAGAAAGAAAATGTTTAAAAAAAACCGCTTGAATAAAAACATTTCTTGATTCCGTTTTATATGTCTTTAACTTAAGTGGAAAACTACTTTTTGATTTCATTTAGACATTTGAAGGTTAACGCTGTCATTTACACTGCCGATGTGACTGTCATATTTGCCACTAAACATATGACAACAGGGAAGAAATTCGTTTCTCTTGAAAATTGAATAAAAAACCCCGCCCGATATTTAACAAAAACCTTAATTAGTATCTATACACCGTAATTATATATATTAGTACTATATTCAAATTATAACAACGAAAACTCAAATAACAAACCTAATTCCTCATTTTGGCCATTTCAATTTCTTGAACTATTTATTCTATTAAACAAAATCATTATTGAAAAGACTACCCGAGTTATTTCTCTGTTTTTACAAACTTTTTTTTTTTTTGCTGTACAAAATCAAAATGCAACACTTTAAATTTTAAGGACATGATATCTTAAACGGTAAAAATAAAAGCAAACCTCAAGTGACATATATTTTTCTCTTATTTTCCTTATTGAATAATGTTAACAGGGCGATGTCAGTTTATTTTCCACTTATGAATTTGAATACCCTCTGGATATCTTTTCCGTCATACAAGGGAGAGGTTTAGCTAGCTATAAAACCAGGTTTAATCCACCATTTTCTACATACGAAAATGTCTGTACCAAGTCAGGATTATGACAGTTGTTGTCCCTTCGTTTGAAGTGTTTGATCTTTTAATTTTGCCATTTGATTTGGGTTTCTGTTACCGTTTTAAATTTTCCTCGGAGTTCAGTATTTTTGTGATTTTACTTTTTTCCTCTCTTTTAATGTGTTAAATATTACATAAGAGTTCAACTGAGTTAACAACTTTGATGTTTTGTAGATGCACAGAAGAGGAATGGCACTCAATGGAAAATATTCGTTTTTACCTGATTGGATACTATCCGTGACAGAACTTCAGCCAAGATTTTCATCGCAAAGCAATTCATAGATTATATTGTGGAAATTTAGTGAATACGATACCATATATTATACGATGGAATTACGACTCGCAAATAAAAGCTGTTCATTAATAATGATATATCTGGTGTTCATTGTATTACATTTGTTTGATGTGTTTGAGTCATTAATTTTGCCATTTGATAAGGGACTTTCCGTTTTGAATTTTCCTTAGAGTTCGGTATTTTTGTTATTTTATTTTTTACTACAATTTTTAAAAGATCCAGTATTATCAGTTTTAGTAAGTGTTCATCTTTATTCAATATCGCAAAACGTCCTTTCAAATTATTTTCATACGAGAACACTTTTAAAGAAAGTGCCCAAGAAAATATCCAAAGTCGCAAAACATCCAGCTGAATGGGAACGAACAATAGAAAATAACCCTCTATTCCTAAAAATAATGGAGAGTTTGAACAAAAGATTTACGTCACATGCGTATTTTAAGCTAGTTATGATATTTATTTTTGTTTTTACTTCATGTGTAGTTGTAAGATTTGATTTTCTTCACTTGACTTTATAGCCATGGCGTTGTCAGTTTATTTTCGACTTATGAGTTTGAATGTCCCTCTGGTATCTTTCGCATCTCTTTTTAAATGGTTATTCCATTCATTTTTTAGTATACATGGTATAAGAAATTTATTTTAATACCATTTTCTTTATATTTCAATTTT